GTCCAGGCTGGCAGTGAGCATGTGGTCCTGAAAGCAGAGCCCTGGGCTTGGGGTCCCAGGTGGGGCTGAGTCCGGGAAGGACACCAGCCCCTGGCTTGGTCTGTTTGTACAAAGCCTGCCTGGGTCAGACTATCAGCCCAGGACGTGCGCAGCCTCACCACCTGTAAACTCAGAGGCTGACATCCTTAGTGACTGACCCTGTGAGGTCTGTGGGATGATGGTAATCATAAGATTTTATAAGTAAATAACACAAATGAGAAGTGCTTCCTTCCACTAGCGTGTCCTAGTGTCGCTGAGGCTAGAACCCTAATCTCTGGACTTAGTGCTCACAGCTTCAGCACCAAGAAGGGACCAGAGGGAGACTGAGGTCCAGACATGCACAGAGAGGCAGCCCTGAGCACCAGCGGTGGCCTTGCGAGGCCTGTGGTTTGCAGCCTGAAACCACTGACACAACTGCCACCTGTATGGCACTTGCAGTGGTGGTGGCAGGGGCTGTTTGACGTATGGTTGAAAGCAAAATTCAGGGTCCATGATGCCATCTTCAGCACGCAGGGCCATGAGATGGCAGCCAGCAGGTGGCAAAGCCTGCCGGAGGCCTGAGGCTTGTGGTGAGGGCAGCACCAGGGCAGCCAGGGACAGGACTGGGTCTGACTCCAGGAGTGGGTGGCGTCATCGGGCAGAGGCCCGAGCACTGGGGACAGCATCCTCTTCTACCCCTCGGGGAGGTGACCTCTGCGGACAGTAGTCAGTGGTCCCCCCCGACCACCATTTTCGATTCTCACATTGGCCCCTGGTGCACTTGTCCTCACGCAGGGACAGGAGACATGGGTGTTTACAGCAGGACTCTGCCTCCCCCAGGAGGTGGGGAAAAGGAGAAAGGCCCCAGGCAGTGTTTGTCCCACGAGAGACCTGTGAGCGCGCAGCTGGGCGCTGGTCTTCTCGCCTGGCTGGGCTCAGCTTGGCCTGCTGGCCCCGGGCCTGCGCGCTCTAAGATCTGGGAGAAGAGTCTGGTCCAGTGTGCAGGTTTATGGCTGCAAAGCAGCCCACAGGGTGACGCTGGGCAGAGGAGGTGGTGAGCCTGAGAAAGCTGTGGAGGGACAGCCACAACCGGCCATCCAGACAAGTGACTCAGTGCCGAGGGGGCCTCTTCCTTCCTTCAGCTCCTCCATGGGGGCCCCACGGTGCCCAGGCCCTGGGGCTGCAGCCTGAGCAAGACTGAAACTCCCCTGCCTCTCCAGAGGGGGGGACCTTTGTCCTTGAACTTTGTCCTTGAACTACACAAGTATCACCAGAATTGCAATGGGAGGGCCGTAAAGGCCAGGCCAGACCTCCCTGAGGAGGCCGTGGGAGGCTGGGCCCCTGAGGGTGAGAGGAGTTAGCTGTGCATTGGGGTGTCGGGGCCGTCAGTGTGGCGGAGGATTAGGGGGGCCAGGCCAGCATGGCAGGGAAGGGGGAGGAGGCTCCAGTAGGCAGTGGAGTCAGAGCCAGGAAAAGGACCTCACCAAGGGTGACACGGTCAGGGGAGTGTTTTCGGGGACTGTCAGCATGAGGGGAGGAGGCCTGGCCTGGCTGAGCCCTCACTTCTTCCCTGCGGCCCCCCCTTCCCCACCTGCACAGGGAGACGGCCAGCAATCTCTCGTGCTGCTCAGGCACCTGTCCCTTGGGCCTCCTCATTCGTGTCCAATAGGAAAATGAGAACAATGCAGGTGAGGTGGGGGGCGCTGCCAGCCAGAGGCCCGGAAGGCCCTGGCCTGACCTCTTGCCCCTACCAGCACCAGCTCCCCTGGGAACTCACCCTGTGCTCCCCAGGGAAAATCTAGCTACAGTCTGAGCCGATGCCCTCCCTGGAGACTTTGTTTAGACCCACTTGGTGGAGGGAGGGTGGGGTGAGCAAGGTGTGGCAGTGAGGCACACCCTCCCCTGTTTGAGCAAAGCCCCTGGGGTCCTAGAGTGTGCCTCCCCCTGTCCTGCCTGGGCCCTGACCTTTATTTCCTGCCCAACCGGCTGTGGTAGGGACAGAAGGTCCAGGCCCTGGCCCAAGGGAAACATGTCTTTATGAGGGTCTGCGGGGAGGTGTGTGTGGGGTAACAGCTCTTTCTGCTCCACCCCCACCACCCCGGTGGCCCCCTTGGCCTTATAGAGCTGCGGCCTTCCTGAGGGCAGCTGAATGCATGACCCTGAGTGGACAGGGTACAGCCTGGCGTATAGAAGCTCAGGGTCTTTCATTCACTCCTGGGGAAGTAGGTGTGACTGGCACGATGACAGTTATAGATTGGGGACCTGGCCTACGCATTGTTCCCTGAATGCATTCCCTCCAGTGCTTTCCCACCTCCAAGCCTCTGCTCACACTGTTCCCTCTGCCTGGAGCACCCACTCGACCCCCAGCGCTGCCGCACGCCCACCTCCCTCACTAAGGCCGGCTCCTTTGTCGAGTCCCCAGCCAGGGCCCTCACACCTGCCCCACTCCCAGGGTTTCTGCCAACCTTCTGCGCACTGGGCTCTGTTCCTTTTATCCTGCTTTCCCGGAGTCCCTCATGGGCAGTCCACATCTCAGCCACCTTCGTGGTTTCACTGCCCGGAGTGGGACTGGACACCCAGTCAGTGCTCTGTTAATCTTTGTCCACTGGGGACAAATAGCAAACACGTGAGTGGAGCTTACTGTGTACCAGGCACTGTTTTAAGTTTTATATGTGATAACTCTTTTACCTCTCATAACCACCCAATGAGGTAGGTATTTCTGTTACTCTCATTTTGCAGATAAGGACATTTGAGGCAGAGGCAGGGTAAGTGATGTAAGAGAGCAAATAATGGCTCCCTCTACCTTTCTAGGTTCTTTGCCTGGGCTAGGAATTAAATGGACATATAAACTGAACAACAGGAGAAAAACTACATTTATAATAATTACATATGTAGACAGAGGAGCCCCATGAAATATGGCACTCCAAGAGGGGTGACATCCTGAGCTAAGAAAAAAAGAGGGACTTAGGGCTTGGGGGGGGGCAGGTGGCAACACAAGAGGGTGAGGGGAGGAAGTGTGTGGTGAGTAAAGGTTGTCTGGTTATGTAGATAAAACATCTCAGGTAACAGGCCTGGCACGATGACTCACACCTGTAATCCTAGCACTCTGGGAGGCTGAGGCGGGAGGATGGCTTGAGGTCAGAAGTGCTAGACCAGCTTGAGCAAGACCCTGAAACCCCATCTCTATCAAAATAGAAAAAATTAGCCGGGTGTCACATGGTGCGCACCTGTAGTCCCAGCTACTCAGGAGGCTGAGGCAGGAGGATCGCTTGAGCCCAGGAGTTGGAGGTTGAGTGAGCTATGATGACACCACTGCGTTCAACCCGGGGTGACAGAGTGAGACCCTAAGAACAAAAACAAAAACCAAAAAGCCCAAAAAGGTCACCCGGCCAGTAAATGTCCAAGTCAGGATCCAGCCCAGGCATCTGGGCTGTGGGGTCCACACTGAGGACACTCAGCAACCAGTGTGCCACCTGCCTCCTGGGATGCTGCTGCCTCAGGGACGTCCTGTACAGCATGGGGGACACCTCTGTCACCGTCAGGAGAGACACCAACTCAAATGGGCAGCTTATCCCTCACCCAAGCTCCTCAGACCAAGTCCCACTGTCCTTGGTGTGGCCTTTCCACCCCCCTGGACTCGGGAAGTCCCCTGCACACTTACTTGGCACAAGAGGGTTTGATCTCCTGAGCACAGTAATCTGGGTTCAGCAAGTGCTTGCAAAACAGTCACTTTGCTACACAGGCCCCAAAGACAGGAACAGCTTCTTGAAGACCCTTGGCTGTCACCTTTCCTCCCCCAAGCCTGTTTCCTGCTCTGGGAAATGGGCCAACTTGCTCATGTCACATGGTGTGACATCTGGTAGGGATTCTGAGTTGCTTCTGAATCAACACTGTGTCAACAGTCTATTTGCCTGAGTCTTGGCATTGTGCTGTGCCTGCTCTAGACGGCCAGGTGACTTTGTCTGGGCGACTTGGGGTGGGGATGAGGTTACAGTCAGGCTGGGGTGTGTGCTCCTTGCCCCCTGAAGCAGACTTGGGAGCAGCCTGGGACAAGGAGATAAGCTGGGAGAGACTAGTGGCTCATTTTGCCACCAGACAGTGGGGGTGGGGGTGGTACTTGTCAAAGCCTCTTTTTGGCCTCAGTGTGTCCCACCCCTTCTGGCTCACTGCCACCAAGCTGTGCAGTGAGGGCAGAGGGATGAGGTGGGGAAAGGGGGGCGCCCAGCAACGCCTCTGCCAACTGCAGCTAACAAGTGGCAGCTCATAGACAGGGCAGGGCTGTGGTGACCCCGGGCGGGGGCAGCCAATGAGCTCCCGGGCTGCGGTGGCACCACCGGGCAGCCCGCCTGTCTTTGGCTGGCGCAGCAGCGGGAGGGGCCTCGGGCCGCCAGTCAGGGCTGCCGGGCCCTGTCTCCGGGAGGCCTGGGCAGATCTGCCGCTCCATTCACCGGGAGCCCGATCAGCTGCCACATTTTCAACTTTTCCGACCTCCTGGGGTAGGGGGGCTGTGGGGGGAGCGCCGGGAGGATGGCTGGGAGGACGGTGCAGCCAGAGATGGAAACAAACTCGGAAACAACTTGGGGAATTTTCCCCAGGATCTGGACCCAGAGTGGGCTGGAGAGCACTGGGAATGTCTGGCTCAGGTACAGAGCAGGCCACGGAGCAATCAGGTGGAGGGACATGGGGAAGCAGAGGTGGCAGTCATGGCGCAGGTGTCCACCCAGGACTGGCATCAAGGACCTGAGTCCTGGCCTGCTCAGGTCCTGCACACCTGTAGCCACGAGAGCCCCTTTCCCTTTGCCTGGAGTCAGTCCTGGAACAGCACTTGTGACCTAAGTAGCTGTCAACTGGGAATAGGGTGAGGGGGAAAGTTAGGCTTGTCACCAAGAACTCCTTGTGGCATGGGCAGTGTCAGTAGCAACAGGTGCTTGTGCACCCCCAACCCCCAGCCTCCCTGCTCAACGCAGACCCACCACGGCCAGTCACATAATAAACATATATTTATAGATGTACAATTTCAGAATTCTAATTCAAGAAATACAGCTTCTCGGGGGATCCTTTAGGATCTATGTTCTTATTGCACATGGCTCAGCCCATCTAGGGACGTCTACCAAGACCAGACAGTTGGGATGGTGGGGGCAGAGCACCAGGGCCACCGCGAGGGCACTCTGGCCCGCGTCCAGTTCTTATGATCTCTCTGGGCTGGAGTGGCCGCTTCATTGCAGGGTGGGACCTTGTTTAAAAACCAGATTTGACATTTCCTTACCAAACTTCCTTTCCCAGCAAGAATCCTATTTGTTGGGGGATTTTTAAAAAAAGAGTAAAGAGAAATTCTGGGAGGATAGTTATCACCTCCAGGCGGGAAAGAGTAAGGCTTTGGAAGACAGCAGGCTCAATGACACACCCACCGCCTCAGGAAAAAATGGTAATTCCAAAAGGCCCAGTATAAACTGTGGGAATAAATAAAACCTCCCTCCCTGCCCTGGCAGCAACTGTTGTTTTGCGAAAAATCCTCATTGGAAGGTGAGGGTTGGAAACTATTCCGGTTCCTATGTATCCTTTGTCCAAAGTGCGAGAGGAGGCCGGTGGAGTCGAGTCCGTGGAGGGTGAAGACAGAGGCGCCCACAGGCACTGACTTTTCTTCAGGGGCCGGGCTGCCGCCCTGCGGTCCGGGGCACCACTGGCTGACTCTCGGAGGAAGAGCCTTCTGGAGTCCTTGACGCACAATTTAGGGAAACCCAGTGGCAATGATGGAGCTGTGCCCTGTGGCACCTATAAGGCAAAACCCTCTTAGGGGCTAGGGGCGGGGAAGTGGTTAGGTAGGACCTGGCCCCTGGCTCCGAGCCCTGCCATTTGTGGGCAGGAGGCTGGAGGGCTCCTGGGTGCCAGGACAGAGAGGCCACCTGAGCTGGCTGAAGGAGAGGGGCAGCCTGAGTGGGTGGTCTCGCTCCAGCAGGTCCCATGGGGGGTGCTCTGCCTCGACTCAATACTGACCTGGCACCTGCCCCTGGGGTACCTTTCTCCCTCCACAGCCTGCTCCTCTCCAGCTTGCCCTGACACCTGGCGGCCTCTCCGATTCAGACCATCATGATTACCGCTGCCTTCACAGACAGGCTGGGGCGCAGGGGGGATGTTAAAAGCACATGACTTGACTTTCCTTACGCTGTCAGCTACAGCTAATGTCTAGCTTTTGAAGAACTAGGTTGCCTTCCCCAAATACGCCTCATTTTCTACAACATGGAAGAAAGCTAAACAACTTAACCAATCCCTGCATAGTTCAAAAAGTAGACTCTCTCCATATATATCTTTATATATGCCTATTTACATATAAATAGATATATATATGCATACACGCATCTATAAATTACATTCTGTGGAGAGTTCTCTTTCCTCCTCCTCTCTGTCCTTGGCCAACGCCTCTGGCTTCCCCTGAGAGGTGACTGGTGGTGGCTCTCGGGAGGGGGAGGAAAGGCAGTTGGGCAACCCCCTCCCCCAACCCTTCCCACAGACACTTGCTGCAAGTTTTACATTCTACTTTCGTTGCCATGGTTTCTGTATCCTAGGAGAGAGCCGATGCGGAGCCTCTGCCAGCCTCGGGAGGGAGGGAAGCAGCCCCGTGGCAGGTTTTCTGTCTGTCCTAAGAGCTTTCTGCATTTACTGGGTGAGAGAGAGGGCAGTTGTGCTGCGGTCAGCCTCCAATTCCATTTTAATTTTTTTTCTTTGTATGTCTTTTCTTAAATATACAGTCCATCACCTTGGCTCAGTGCTTGTCACCAAAAATTCTCCAGGGATTTCATAGTCTGGGGAGGAGAGTGGCAACAGTTAGCCTGACAGTCAGGAGGCACCAGCGCCTCTAGCTCAGCCCCCGCGCACCAGCAGACCTCCTCCTCGCCAAGGCAGCGCTGGGCTGCTTGCCCGACCCCCGCCGCCCCTCCGGCAGTCGGCAGTGCTGCACTGGGGCGCGGGCAAGCGGCCTCAAAGCAGAGGCTGCAGCTGGATCCAGGCCGAAAGGACACAGGCGCAGAGAACCTTCACCGGCTCTGCCCACGCTCCTCTGGGCTTGGTCCAAGTTGTCCCCTCTGGCGAATGCTGGGAACAGAGCCCACTACCCCCACATGCAGGGCCGAAGGAGGTGGCAAGCCTGCTACCAGCAACTCTCATTTTCCCCCACCCTTCTACGCTGAGTGGCTGCATCTGACCCTGAACTCATGACCTTCTGTTCCCTTGCTCAGACCACAGGCGAGGTGTCTGGGCAGGGCCGGATGCCTGTGGCTTCCAGGCTGCCAGGTGCAGCAGTGTCTCAGGGCCCCGGGGCGGGGAGCAGTCAGGGCACACTAGCCTCTCTTGCCTCTGAGCCTGTCAGCTCCCGCCCACTGTCAGGCTGCCCACTTATCTTGCTCGACTTCCTCCTGCCTGGAAGGACAGAGGAGGAGGAAGGCTCTTGGCACCCCCTGCTCCCACATGGTTTTTCCAGGTATGGGACAGGCAGTGTGTGTGGGGCTCTTAGGCTCAGTAATATTTAATATTTGGTGGCCTAAATACCAGGGCACAGACAACAGTCTGCTGTACTTGGGAAAGGGCCATGGTGACTTGATGGCTGGAGTGGACTAAGGATCCAGGAGTGGCCCTCAGCAATCGCCCTGGGCTCCTGCTCTGCCTGGCTCTTGGATACTCCATAGCCCCAGAGCCAGGGAGCAGAGTAGAGCAGTGAGTGGAGAGTGTCACCAGAGGGCTCAAACAGACCTCAGTTTCCAAGTAGGCCCCAGAGCTGCCCCATCTCTGGAGGGTGGAAGCCAGGCTGGGGACAATAGTCTTTGCCACAACACCAGGTTTCTGCCCTTTCTCCTTCCCTCCCTCCTCTGCCTCATGACCAGGGCCAAAGCTGCCAGGAGTTGCAGGGTGAAGGCAGCCCTGGCTCGTACTTGGACCTTGGTGGCGTGGCAGGCCCAGGACTATCCATGCAGGGAGGCCTGCACCTCTGACAGTCGGCTACAGCTTGGGGTGCCCATCTTCTGTGCTTTGTGGTACATATCTGTGTCGCCAAAGTAGCGGGCCCGGTACAGCAAGCCTTCCTCTGCAAAGCAACGGGACAGGATTAGGGCATACCCAGTACCTCCCGAAGCCTGCTAGGAAGCCTGCCTGGGCCTGTGGGGGAGGAAGAAGGCTGCTTGGGCCCAGGAGCTCGGGCAGAGCTGGCCTCACACTTGGGTAGATGCTCGGAGAGCCAAGACTATGGTCCCAATGTGGGAGAGGGATGGCAGAGGCCCCTTTCTCTAGAGTGTGGGTGAGGCTGGCCAAGGTGAGAACCCGTCATCCTGGTCAGACGTCCCCGGGGCCGATCCAGATACACAATCAGTGGGCAGAGATCTGCTCCAGTCCGTCTCTACATACTTACCTCTGGCAGCCAAACGACAGGCTGATTGCCGTGATTTACAGGAACCTGAAGGAAATCACCAGGTGGCCCCTGGCTCCCAGCCCCAGGGAACACAGGAGTGGAGCCCAGCTCTTGGCTCGGAGGTGGCTGGCACAGGGCACTGTCAGGTGCCAGGCCCTCAAAGCACTGGGTGAGCAGGGCTTTCTCCTTTCCCTGCTCTCAAGCTTTGTCCCTGGCCACCCCCCTAAAACACACACACACACACACACACACACACACACACACACACACTCACACACACACACACACACACTCACTCTGCTGCTTTTCCTTCCAGCAGTTGTTTCGGAGGTTAGCGATGTAATCATCTTCCACGTTCCGTTCCACCGTTTTGAGGCTGGAGCCTGTGTACTCCTCAGAGAAGGTGTCTGCCACGTAGTAGACGACGCTCAGGTGGTCAGTGACTCGTCTGTGGACGTGGCCCACTGACCTGGGTGAAATATACAAGGCACAAAGTGGGCCTTAGCCCCTAGGCCCAGGGCAGCTGTAGGGATGATGGGGTCCCATGACAGGAGGTGCCATACAGGCCACAGGAGTAGGTGGCTCCCTTCTAATCTAGGGCAGGAGCTCGCACACTACCCAAAATGACGGTCTCAAGAAAAGGCAGCGTCCCTCCTACACAAGGGGCCCAGACTGTGGCAAGCCTTTCCTTTAGGCTCTCTGCTCACCACGTCGTTGACCTGGGGCCTTGGGAGAAGTACCTTTCTGAGGAGAGGCCCTGGCCTTGGGAAGTGAGGGACCCAGGAGGGAGTCTGGGCTCTGCCTTCTGTGCCTTCATTTCCCCCACTAATCCCCTAAGCTAATCGTTGCCGAGGCCGGCCTGCCTATCTAGGAGCTCCCAGTCTAGAGTTAAGAGGCTTATGAACAGAATGACAGGAAGGATTCCAAGGACTTGTATCCTTCCAGCTCCAATCACAGGCTCTGCAGGCTGTGGGTAGAGCCTCAGCACCCAGACAGGAGTCAATGCTCCCGTGGGGGGACAGCCCCTGCCTCACCCCACTGCTGCCTGTCATCTTTCCAGCTGCAGGACAAACGGCTGGCATCTCGCCAAGGGCCTGGCTGCTGTGGGGCCAGTGGACCAACTCTGCCCCCTGCTGGCCGAGAAGGATCCTGCTGTGCTCCCAGGGGGAGGCAGGCTGCTTGGTGGGCACAGAGGGCTTCCACCCATAGCAGCTGAACACCCGCTACGGACTCGATACTGTGCCAGGTGCTGGAAATATTAATAAATGAGGGGAGCCTTAAAGGGTCACATAACTTGTCCAAGTCCACTACTGGCAATCACAACCAAGTATGCATTCAACAAATATTGTTTGAGTATTTCTAATGAGCCAGACATTTTATATGTATTACTCATTAGTTTTCACAAGCAGGTAGATGTTATTATTCCCACTTTATAGATGAAGAATCCAAGGTTATGTAACTTGTAAGGTCACACAGTTTCTTAGTGGAGAAGTTGGGATTCAAAGCTGCCCTTATTCTGACTCTAGAGCCCCTGTTCTTCCCATGGTCTCACGGACCCCAACCAGAATTGAAGAGCAGAGGCTCTTAATTTGGGGTCAGCAGGTAAGATGGGGTGGAGAGGGAGTCACAAAGCCGCTGAGATCATATGCAAAGCCATGTGCACATGCACTGTTCCAGGGAAAAGGTCTGTAGCTTTCACTGCATTCTCTTAGTGGATCATGGTCCTAAAAAGCTTAAGAACTTCAGCTCGACAGAGAAAGTACATATTCTCGATTCTAAGCCAGCTTTCTGCCTTATGATAGAGAACCTGCTGGATCAGGTTGGGAAGAAAGGCCCCTGAAGCGAGATGAGATTCCCAAGCCCCTTGTGGGCCCACTGCCCACCCTGCCCAGCTGCAGGTACTCACGGCCTCGGGCTCAGACTGTAGGGTGGACTGGAGACCATAAGCTGGCTGAGAGCTGACACGAGGATCAGGATGAGGATGGGCATCAGCTGCACAAACACCCCTAGCCCGCCCTAGAGGGAAGAGCCAATGGTCACCTAGCCGGATCTGGGTGGAGTGTGGCATCTGCCACTACTGCCACCAGCTCTACAGTACAATGGAGCCTGGGTGGCTGTGACACCATGCTCTGCCATCCCCTCCCACATGACCCCAAAATACAGATGCTTCTCCACTGCCAACTTCCCCGGACAAAAACAAGGCAGCAGCTGGTGTTAAATGCAGGAGGGGGCAAGGTACCTGCGTTTACTTATGGAAGAAAACCAAAAAAATCAGCAAAAGTGGCTGCCACCTGCTGGAGCTGGAAGGAGGCTTGCACTAAATACATCTTTTTTGAATTTTGAACCATACAAATGTTATTACCAATTTAAAAATTACCTATTAAAAATACATTTATTCACTGTGTGATAATTTGTGATTTTAAAAACTTTTCTGTATGTTAAATACAAAATAAAAGTTAAAAAAAATGAATAAACATTGTTGGAGCAAATGTAACCCCCCCTCTGTCTGCCAGGATTTAATAAAATGCTCTGCAATTGTCCACAATATTTTAATTTCAGCCAGCTAGCTGTTCTTCGATGTGTGGCATCTATAATGTGTGGCATATATAACTGAAGCATTGTCTAGTTATAGCTTTTGTATGCTTTTTTTTTTTTTTTTTGAGAGAGTGTTACTCTGTTGCCTGGGCTAGAGTGCTGTGGCGTCAGCCTAGCTCACAGCAACCTCAAACTCCTGGGCTCAAGTGATCCTTCTGCCTCAGCCTCCCGAGCAGCTGGGACTACAGGCAGGTGCCACCATGCCCCGCTAATTTTTTCTATATATTTTTAGTTGGCCAATTAATTTCTTTCTATTTTTAGTAGAGACGAGGTCTCATTCTTGCTCAGGCTGGTTTCAAACTCCTAACCTTGAGTGATCTCCCGCCTTGGACTCCCAGAGTTCTAGGATTACAGTGAGCCACCACGCCTGGCTGTATGCATTTTTTTAAAAGTGCCAAAAAGCAAGAAGAATCAGCACCCATGTCGTCACCCTTTACAATTCTCTCATGAAGTTTAATTTTCCACTGCTTGTAAAATGTCATTTTGGTTTTAGGACTGAATGGCCTGCACAATTCACACTTAAGCCCGTCTGCAAGTGGAGAAGCCTCTGCATGACGTTCCCAACAGAGGCCAGCAAACCCCCGACTTCTGTGGGCACCGTGGAGTGTGGCTCCCTCTGGTGTCACTCAGCAGAATGGCAAGGGGGAGGCCAAGATGGCTCCTTGGATGAGCTCTGAGGACACTGCCCTCCCCAGATCAAACACGTGGGATGTAACTCCCTCCTCCAGGCCCCGCACCCAGGGGTGGGCTTAGTGCCCTCCCCCTGCTCTTCCTCACTCACGTCACCCTGGTTCTCCCTGCGGTCCTGCCTTTGCTGGTAGGTATAGCGCATGCGGCCGTTGCTGTAGACATGGACATTACCTGGGGGCAGAGGGAGTGAGTCAGGAGCTGGGGCTGCTGGGAAAGGGAGAGGCTGGGCACGCAGTCCCCACTGTCACCCCCAGGGAGACCTGGCTGTGGGGAGGACGGGGGACTTACTAGAAGGGAAGCCACCTCCAAAGAACATGTTGAAGAGGTCTTCAGGGGAGATGTCAGCCTCAAAGCCACGGTGGAAGTCCCCATGCCCATGGCCGTGCCGGGCTGCCTGGCTCTTGTCGTCACCGAATTGGTCATACTGCTTCCTTTTCTCCGGGTTGCTAAGAACTGCGTATGCTGTGCCAATGGCTGGAAAGGAGGCGGAAGGGTCGGGCCTGAGGATGCGGGGTGTGGGCCGAGTGCTCGCGTTTTTCAGGTACTCAAGTGGTGCTTTAGGAAGCGGGGCCCTTGGGACTGGTGGAAGCTTGGCTGCCCGGCCAGCGTGGGGAGGAGGGTGCGCAGGAAGAGCCCTGCGTGAGTCTGGGCAGCCTGGCTGGGTGGAGGGTTCACACTCAGACCCCTCCCTCTGCTCGTCCAACTAGTCACAGCGATGTTGAGCTTTCTCTGCGAGCCCGGCTCTTCCGGGCATTATCTCATCTACTCATAGCAGCAACCCTACCTCCATTTACCAGTGACACAACGGAGGCTCCCAGAGGGTAAGTGACTTGCCACATTATGTAGCTCTGATGTTACAGAGCCGGACTCAAGCCCAACTGGGTCTTGCTTCTAGTTTTCTCTCTGACTTTAAGAAAACCACCAAAACCCCCTTTCCTCATTCCTCTCTCTTGAGGTGCCCGATGGCGTTGGGTGTCCCTCCTGGAGGTTACATAATCTTGAAGGCATAGTATGACACAGAAGCCAAATAACACACGGTGTCCTCCCTGTAAACTGGAAAGCAGCAGGGACTGCAGGGAAAGGCCAGTCCCGGGGTTCTGGTCCAGACTCCTCCACTGCTGGTGATGTGGCCGGGGTGTGTCCTCCCCTCCCTGGGGTCCAGGCCCCAGCTGCTGTTTCCTACCTGGGCCTGAAGCCTCCCCACCGGAGCTCCCTGGGCAGGAAGTCTGTGCTCCAAAGGACCCCAGGTCCTGGCCTCCTCAGTCTCTCGCTCCTTCTCCTTAAGCTGCCCACTCTCTGAGCACAGGGCGCAAGCTGCATCTGCTGCACAGCCTGCAAGCCCTGGGCACAAGGAGGGAAGAACCGCCTCCTCCTCTTCCTCTTCTGACAAAGCCCCAGATTGGCATGTCAGTACTTGTTGGGGAAGTTTGCAGGCAGAAGTCAGGGTTGGAGAAAAATCAACCATGGCTGCTTGGCCTCCCTGCTCCTTCTAGGGCAGGCCCCTGGGAGACCACACCAGGGATGGGGTTTGCTCTGCCACAGGCTCTACCCCTGGCTATGGTCACAGCCCCAGTGCCGCACAGCCTGGCCAGGTCAGGTAGGGCTAGTTACCATGCCATCTCCCAAGGAGGTGGACCAAGTGGAAAATAGAGAGACATCTAGGGGATAAGTGTAGTACCTGGCAACACAGTGCTGGCACAAGGTCAGGATGCCTGTACGCCTGATAGCTTCAATGACAATATAAATGAATGAAGAGCACCTTGTGATTTCAGCCAGAATGGAAGTACCCATCCCAGAACCAAAGGGTTCAGAGACGAAAAAGACTACCATGTTCCCCACTGCAGGTGCATGCATGGGGGGGGACACAGCTGTAGGTGCTGGTACTAAGGAGGCCACCAGAGGCCAGAGGCCCCTGGCCTGGGGACACCCCACCCCTCAGCAGGGAAACTGTTACCCTGGTGGGAAGCTACAAGATGCCAGGATGGGGAAGTACACACAAGTGAGTCACTATCCCTGCGTGACCTTGGAGAAGCCACTAGAACTTTCTTGCCTTAGCATACCCACTGCAACCCCAGGGAACAAGGAAGAAGGGGAGGTGGGAGTGGTGCTGTTTGAGCTCTGACAGACTCTCCGTGGCAAGGGGTGGCCACTAGGACCTTATTCCCAGGAAGCAGTCTCTGAGCCTGTGGAACTTGGGCCTGACACCACTTCCTTCTGCCCCTCAGTTCCTGGGAAAGCTGTCTTCACCCCTTATTTCCCCCAAGGCCAGGAGATGAAAATACCAAAATGCCAGGGAACCGAGCCAGCTTACCTTTGAAAGCTTCGGTGGCGCCAGGAGCATGGTTCTTGTCCGGGTGGAATTTGAGGGCCAGTTTGCGGTAGGCCTTCTTCAGGTCCTCATCGGAGGCCCCTCTGCTCACCCCCAGGATCTCGTAGTAATCTTTACATTGCTTGACCCTGAAGAAGGAGAAGAGCATGGTGGTGTGGCAGGCACTGAACAGGCAGTGTGGGGGCCATGGCCCTGGGCAGGCTGCAGGGGGATTAGCAGGGCATGGTGGACAACTCCTCCGGGTCAGCCATCTGACCTCTGGGACAAGGGAGCCACTGTAAGCTCCAACTGCGATGGGCAGCTGGGCAGGGCCCACTGGAAACACCGAGGATACATTTAGGATTTCAGAGGGGGCAGCTGCTGCTTTTTGCCAGGCCAGTGTCCATCTCCCTTCTGCTAACAGTTCCCTCACTGGAGGCAACCTCGGAAGGGCTGCCCGGCTCGTGCGCTGGCTCGCGCCTGCAATCCCAGCTCTCTGGGAGGATGAAGCAGGAGGATCACTTGACCTGGGGAGTTGGAGACCAGCCTGGGCAATATATTGAGACCCCATCTCTACAAAAAAAAAAAAAAAATTAGCTGGGCGTGGTGGTGTGCGCCTGTAGTCCCAGCTACCTGGGAAGCTAAGTCAGGAGGATCGCTTGAGTCCAAGAGTTCAAGATTACAGTGAGCTATGACTGCGACACTGCACTCTAGCCTGGGCGACAGAGCGAGACCTTGTCTCTTAAAAAAAGAAAACCAAAATTGTCAATGTCTATCACGCGAGGGCAGGTGAGTCCCAAGCTCAGCCAACTGTACTCTCCCCTGGCAGTCTGAGTCTTGAGGGGGTAACATAAAGGCCAGAAATGGCAGGTGTCTGTTTCCCCCAACCACAAGGCCCTGAAGAGACCCTGGTTCTCTTCCATCAATTCTTATTCTCTGGGTCCTTGGAGACCCCCTGGTTCTTGGCCTTTTCTAGGCCTTTCCAACCTCTCATAAATCCGTTTCTACTGCCTACAACTCACAGGCTTGACAAATCAAACCCCTGCCTGGCCAGAGAAGTGCAAATCTGGCTTATGCTTTACGGCCAACTACAGCCATGCTCAGTCACATGGAGGCTGACTCCAGTCCTGAAGCCTCCCCGGAAATAGGAGCATGACCTGGGGGCATTCCTGAGGCCAGTGAGGGTGGGATGCCTTGGGAGAAACGAGAGATGGGAATGTCTCATCCTGACAAGGCTTGGCAGGGAGCTGCTCTGGGCAGGGCCTGCCCACAGCCTCAGAGAGAGAATTCTGCCTTCTGTCTCCACTCTGCCCCACACAGCCTCTGGTCTAAAAGGGTCTTTGTTGAGGGCGGGGCGTGGGTTGGGGGAGAATCTGGAGGGGAGACCAGTGGCCATCTCCATCTGATAAACAGAGATGTATAGGGAGGCCTGCGGCCCGCCTGGCCGGCGGCAGAGGAAGCCGGCAGAGCCAGCGTTTCTGGCCCCTGCTGCGGGTTGTCTTGGCCAAAGGGGTAGCAGAGCCCTGGTCCCCACGCTGTATTGTCAGGCCTTGTGGGAAATAATAAGGTCCTAGGGGGCATTCCACCTCCCAAGACCCTCCTCCCAGGGCCCGATCCAGAGCACGGACAGATGTGCCATGGAGGACACACTGCAGGAAACCTTGTCTAGACTTCCCCGACGTCCCCGGCTCTGGCCCCTGCCCACCCGGCCCAGCCTTCTACCTTTTCACAGCTGCCACTTGTTCTGCTGTGTAGCCTTTGGTGCTCTCTCCTCCTCCAGCTTCACCGTTGGCCGAGGGGGCGTCGGTCCCACCTGCCTTCCTGTGGGTGGCATGGGTTGCGTCTGTGGGTTGGGGTTGGTCACCAGCAGTCTGTGGTTTCTGGCTGAGGGACTCGATCAGGGCTGTGCAAGGCAAGGAAACTATTCAAGGCTCTTGCTCCGGCAGGGCTGCGTGCCCTGGCCAAGGGCCTCCACATCCCTCTAGTGTCCCTTCCCAGCAAGTCACTCGCTCCTTCCCTGACCTGGGCCTGTGGGCATTAGGACTCAGGACTAGGCAGGGTATAGGTCATTTTTAAAAATACAAACAATATTAATTTTAGTAATAAAAATTAACAATAAATCCATATAATCATGGATAAATCTGTAGTAATTCCCTTATTTTTCAGATAGTACATTTATATATACATCTCTTTCCTTAATAAATTTTGGCAGAATTTTCATACTCTAATAGTCTTTTGAAAAAGCACACTGGGTTTTATTAATAAACCCTGTAGTATTTGATTTAGAGTTCATTAAACACTACTTTGTTAGTTCTTTCAATGTATTTGTTTAGTTTTACTAAACTCTTTTTCTTTCATGAATCCATTTTTTCCCCTACTGAACTCATTCAAATCTGTGTACTTCTCTCTTTGCAGTGCACCACATTCTGAATACCCAAAATATTCAATCCACTGCTCTAGCCCCTGTTGTTGTTATTTTTTATCATTGGTTTTAAAAATGTTTTAATACCACCAGGCATGTTGGCTCACACCTTTAATCCCAGCACTTTAGGAGGCTGAGGTAGGAGGATCACTTGAGCCCAGGAGTTGGAGGCTGCACTAAGCTATGATGGCGCCACTGCACTCCAGCTTGGGTGACAGGGCAAGACACTGTCTCTTAAAAAATAAAAAAGGTTTTAATATTAAATCATTATTAGTATAAAACGAATAATACATTGCTAGCAAGGTAATATTAATTTTAATACTTTGCTTCCTAGTTTAAAAATTTGGGGCTGTTTTAACATAATTGATATTTCTTTTTAGTTCAGGATAAGAGAGTTTTTTATTGTGTTAAAAAACTCATAAAATTTACTAGTTAATAATCATTTTTAGGCATACAATAGTGTTATATAGGGTATAGGTTATTTTTAAACTCAGCATAAAAACAAACCATTAAACCAGTTTTTTAAAATACAAAGTAGTGAGTTCAACAAACTCAACACGCTGTCAGCTAAGATGGGCAAAGCACTCTGCGATGGGGACCCCACTTAGTAGGACCCCCTGATGCAGGTGGCATTGGTCCGAGAGGTCTCCGGGAGGCCTTTGGTTAGCTGTAAAGAGGAACAGGGGAAATGAGTTTGCCCAAGATGGCCAGAGATGGCATGAGACTCAGGAAAATATCAGCTGTTCTCACTACTTGCTATTTTTTACATTTTTTCAAATGGCTGGCCATGTCAAATGTTTTACGGGGCATTAGCTGTCACCCTCAGACAGGATCACAGCTATTCAAATGCAAGGCACTGGTTCCCGCTGACTCAATGATGAAGGGTCCAAATTTCTGGCAGAAGACCCTGCTGCCTACTTATTCCAGGCACAAAACTAATTCTCAGAAACCCCAGTCATACCTGGGACACAGTGCCCTGGGTAGTGCAATCCCGAAGCCTTTGCAGGCTCGTGGGAAAACAGGTATCTGGACAGCAGTACAGCCTGAACTGGCCCCAGCTCCCTTCCAACAAGCCAGGTGCCTGCTGCCAGGTGCCTGCTGGCCTCAAGGCACTGTGCCAGGTGTCAGACACCCCTCTACTGCAACACACCTCGGTCTCGCCCAAGGGCCATGGGGTAGGGCTTGCTGGGAACAGAGCACTGGGGCTCCAGTGGATCACCGTGCCCTGGCCACTGCTCCTTCATTGCAGAAAGCTTGCATGACCTTGCTGAGTCTTCAGATGGGAAATCTAAACACAGCTGAGCTTGCCTCACATGAGGGAGGAGGAGGGTCTCCTGTAGCAAACCCTGAGAGGGGGCTTGGAGAGGAGCAAGGCGATGATCGTTTCTATTACTGAGTGCTCACTATGTGTCAGGCAGCCACCAGCACGGTGCTCTACACAGATGAGCTCATTTATCATCACAGCAGCCTCAGAAGGTAGGTCTCGGTACCTATCCCCATTATAGGAAGAAGGTGCCATGGCAGACCGCTGCCCATGGCTGCACAGCTGGTTAAGTGGCAGAGCTGTGTTTGAACCCCAGGATGTCCAGCTCCAGGGTCCATGATCTTAACTATGCTGCTATCCTGGACCACACATGTGTGACGGTGTCGGGGGGCGGGGTCCTGCCAGCAAAGTCACTCCAAGTATAGAAGAGACATTAAATTTAGAAAGACCCATATTCAAATCTCAGCTTTGCTACTTCCTAGCAATTTGACCCTGGCTGATCTATGAAATCTCTCACAATGGTGGTAGTATGAGGATGAAATGAGACAATGTGTGCTCAAAATGAGGCTGTGCGTGGTGGCTCACGCCTGTAATCCTAGCACTTTGGGAGGCCGAGGTGGGAGAATCACTTGAGCCCAGGAGTTCCAGACTGCGATGAGTGAGCTATGATCACTGCTCTTCAACCTGGGCAACATAGCGAGACCATCTCTTAAAAAAAAAGAGAATAGCTGCTAATATCACAACCTAGACTGATGAGGTGGTGGCCACAGGAGCACAGCTGGCCTGGGAGGTGAGGGGACCACGGCAGGGGGTGGGCTGGCGAGACGGAGGGCTGGCTGGTGGGGGTGCTCTATGGCTCAGGAAGGTCAAAGTCTAGGTGCTCAGCAGGCTCTCTGGGCCCAGTTGTAACCATGAGGTTTCAGGCCATTCCAGACACCAAGTCCATGCCAGGGACACAGGGAATGGCAAGGAAGAATGAGGAGATGCTGGTTAAGAGGGGACAGAGGGAAGAGCTGGTTTGCTGGTTTCCTAGGGCTTTTAAAGAAGTTGTTTATTTTGGTTTCCCTGGAAGCTCCAGTGGTCGAGGCTGAGCCTGACATGTCCTAAGAGCAAAATAACCAGATATTCAACTGCCATAGATAAGCAGGAGTTACAGCAGGGAGACAGGATGGGCTCTCTCCAGGACCTCTCAGGGAAGCTGCGCAAGCTTTTCAAGGCAAGTACATAGAGTCAGCCACTCTGATTTCCCTACACTGCAGAAAGCAAGCCCAAAAGGGAAGGGATGTGCTCCAGGCCACACAGCAGGCTCCTGCTTGAGCTGGATATTAGATTTCTGGTTGCTGGTGGGTAGGTCTCTCCTGCAGCCTGGACAGCCCCTCAGCCAGGCCTGTGGGATGTGACCACCTCATCCTGACTCGCTGTTACATCCCTCATGGCACAGTGGCTGACAAACAATGTCACAAAAGGAGATAAAACAGCTTAATGTCACCCTGGCTCTGGCCCTTCCCAGGAAAGCTAGCAGACCTGTAAAGAGAAGGGGAATGGATGGAAAGGAACACAGCTGGGGTGGAGAGGTGGCAGGTGAGGCAGAGCTGAGAGGATTTCTATAGTCAAAGCCACCAAGGGCTGCCCTTCCCCAAATCCAGACTAGAGAGTCAGGCTGCCCGACTGGTTCAAACCTGGCTCTGCCACTGGCTAGCAGGGTCATCTGGGACAAGGTAACTTAGCTTCTCTATGCAAAATTGTATCTCCCTTGTAAGGCTGTAAAGAGTAAATAAGTGAATGCACGGAAAGAACTCAGCATGGCACCTAGCAAGTATTAAGTGTTATCTGTGACTGATACTTTTGTTATTATGTAAGTAGTTGAGTCTCCAGGCTCTATGTACCTGTATTGCACAAAGTGAATCAGGGAATGGAGGCCAGAGTGGGGAAAGAGCCTGGGATTGGAGATGGACAGTTCTGAATCCTTTGCTGATTAGCCATGTGGTCCTGTCAGGTTATCTAATTCTCACAGTGGTGCTCTGAGGGCTCATTCAGTGAGGGAGTCTCTCTGAACCTGTTCTGGTTCAGGGGGCTGCCTGATTTGAGGAGAGAAAAAAACAAAAAAGACTCAAGGAAATAAAGTGAATGGAAGGGGTTGAGTGCACAGTGGGGCTCATGAGGGTTGCCTGACTTGAACGAATGGCCCCATCCCAGACCTCACCAGCACTCTCATTCCTGGGCCCTGAATGCCAAAATCCCTCAGCAGCTAATCCTCCCTTCTCTTGTGGGCTAGCCTTCCCAGCTTGCCTTCCTGACTTAGCCTGGACCCCAGAGCCAGCCCTTTCCTAGAACCTCAGCTGTCTGAGCAACAAGGACCCTTAGAGACTATCCAGGCCAACCCTCTCTTTGTATGCCAGGGAAACGGAGGCCTGCAGATGTTCTCACGAGCTCCCTGGAAAACCTGTTACCTTCCACCATTATTGCCTCAGCCAAAGCCAGTGGCTACCAGGCTGCCAGGTGCTGGACAGAAACTCCCAGAAAGGGACTGACTGGCGTTCTACCACCCCTATTCTGTGACCTCCCAGCTTAGGGCCCAGCTAGTTTATCTGTCCAGCACTCAGTGGATTTCTGTCCCACCTCCTGCAGCAGGCCTTTCAAGTCCTCTCACCTCCTTTTTGCTGGGAAGGCCAATAGTGTGAGGTCCCTCAACCCTTCAAAGTGGCTCTGAGCCTCCCCTCACTCCGACCCACCCTCTACCTGTCCTGCTTTTTTTTTTTTGAGACAGAGACTCACTTTGTTGCCTGGGCTAGAGTGGTGTGGCGTCAGCCTAGCTCACAGCAACCTCAAACTCCTGGGCTCAAATGATCCTTCTGCCTTAGCCTCCCGAGTAGTTGGGACTACAGGCATGCGCCACCATGCTCAGCTAATTTTTTGTATATATATTTTAGTTGGCCAATTAATTTCTATTTATAGTAGAGATGGGGTCTCGCTCTTGCTCAGGCTGGTTTCAAACTCCTGACCTTGAGGGATCCGCCCGCCTCAGCCTCCCAGAGTGTTAGGATTACAGGCGTGAGCCACCGTGCCCGGCCCTTCTGCTTCTTTAAGATCATCCTCCACCCATGCTCTTCATCCTTCCCCTTTCATCTCTCAATTTGTCCTTTTCCCATGTGGCCCCTGCAGCATCTGACAGTGCTGCTCACCACCTGCTGACACCTCTCCATGGCTACCTGGCCACTGCGCTCTTCTGGGACTGCCTTTTCCTGTTGCTACCTCTCTCTCTGTTCCTGTGCCTTTGCCCACTGGCTCAGGGCAGGTGTGGCCCATGGTTGTGCCTCCAGCAACCACGTGTTCCACACTTTCCCACAGTGGCCTCAGCCACATACACCTCCAACGAACTCCATCAAACTTATGACACAGACTTTCCTTTGGCACCTGGAGCTCTCTCCTCAGCTCCAAGTTGTGGCTCCTTGCCAATGTCCCATTGGCATCTCCCACTCTGCTCATCTTGTCCCACCCCTCTTCCTCAGCCTGGTTCCTTATCGTGCCATCTCAGGCACCCATAACTTCTGACCTACTCAAGACAATTGTCTCCCAACTGGTTTCCTGCCTTGAGTTTCTCTTCCCTCTCACTGACCCTTCATGCTGTTCTCTTTCAAGAACAGTACCCCTACCTTATTCCTGCTATCAAAACTTCAATGGTCTCCTCACTAACTACAGAATAAAGTGAAAATATCGTGGCCTGGCTGAGAAGGATTTCTATAAACTGGCCCCATTTTACTTTCTAATCTTAATCCTCTCTGTATTACAAATAACCACCTCCACTGCCTCTAAATCTTGCTACACTCAATCTCCTCCCCCAAACCGTTCATAGCGTCTGGCCTCCATGTCTTTTCCCAAGCCTCACACTGCTCCAAAGCTCAGTTCAAATGCTACCTCCTGTCTTATGTCTTACTCCCCAAAGCCTTCCCCCACCGTGATTTAACATTATTTTTACACCCTTGCTACAGCACTTTATAATTTTTTTTTTTTAGAAACAGGGTCTTGCTATGTTGCCCAGGCTGGACTTGAACTTCTCAAACTCCTGCCTCCCAGGTTGCTGGGACTACAGGTACAAGCTACTGCACCCAGCTAACACTCCTTATAATTTAATGTTCAGGAAATTATCCTCCACGCTCACAGGCTGTGAACCCATGGCTGATGGGGGCAGGCTTTCATGCCCATCCTTAAGTCCTCAATCTAACACTGGGCTTAATTTTGTCCAATCACTGTTATCTTCTGCCTTTTAATATATTTTTTTATAAGTTTGTCTCCTTCACTAGATTGTAAGCTCTTTCAGGTGAGGGATCACATTTTAGCAATCCTGCTATACCACTTAAAATCAGAGGACTTTCAAACAAAATAAAACAACAAAGGTCTTCAACAAAAGTTTGTTGCACTGAATGAGCATCTGGAATTGGTGCAAATCCAAAGCAGCCAGTGTAGACAACCACCTAGTATTTTTTAACCAAGACATTTCCCTGTCCCCAGCCTAAACTAACCTCAGGTCCTTGTCAGCTCAGTGCAGGGCTGCAGATGGCACAAGATGAAGTATAGACAGATGCATGAGGCATACACAGGCTTTCCAGAAGACCACAAATATGACCAGTATGCAGCAGGTGACTCTTCTGCCGGAGCATATTCCAGTGCCTGAGCCCAGGGAGGATACCCATCCATGCTCCTGAACTGGCACAGGAGCCATTTCTGCTGATGGGAACATCCCATAGGCCCTGTTGTTCCCATCCTTCCTTGGCTGCTTGTTCCTGAGCCCCCAGCAACATCAGAGTCAGATAGAATTTTGAAAGCTGGAGGGCCAACACCCCACTACACTCCCCACTTACACAGAATGTGACTTATTTTACAGGGAAGCTCCTTGAGCAGGTTACCTCAGGAGTCCTGGCAAATACAAACTAAAACCCTCTCCAAGAACAGGCAAACAGGCCAAAGATCAACCTGCAAAGTCAGGAGGGAGGAAAGTTCAGGCATTCCAGGCTACCTCCTCCACCAGTGTTCCTCCTTTTCAATTTCATGTGGGTAGGATGGTTAGGAGGCTGGCTGCCACTGTTTAATTTCATTTCTTTCCTTTAATAAACATTTATAGAGTTACAGAAGTTCCTATCTTCTAGCTGTGTAGTCCTGGGCAAGTCCCTTATCTCTGAGAGGTTTCCTCATCTATAGAACAAAGATAATAATCTTTGCTCTGCCTCTCACAGGGCAGGCTCATGTGAGAATGTGCAGGTGAATAAGCTTTCTAGACCGAAAAGGCCTATGAGTATTCCTGTTATTCACATTATCTGTATCAACCCTCTAATCTTCCACATAAGGAAACCGAAGTTCAGAAAGGTTGCATGGTAGCAGTCTGACCAAGACCCCGGTCTTCTGAGTGCCTGTTACGTTCACAGGCACAAATCTTGTGTCCTCTCCTCCAGCTTGTATTAACAGAGTACTTCTCTGAAAACTTAGGTTAAAGGAAAAAAAAAAGAGTTGCTGGGAAAAGCGAGGTGGTAAGTAGTAACTTGTCTTTGACAACCTCAGTATTTCCTCCCTGGTTTGGGACCTTTCAGCGCAGGGCCGCTCAGCAGCCTGGTGCTTATCAGCCTTAGCAGTCCCTGTGACCAGCCACTGATGGCTCCTGGGGCTTAGGTGGTTTGTGGGTGGCTGACATTGGCATCTCCAACAAGACCGTCCATTCCGAATCTCATCAGCTGGTGAAAAGGCTACAGCAGGGAGTGAGGAGCTCGGTCTCAGGACAGACCGTAAAATGTGGTGGAGCGGAGTGGGTAAAAAGGCAGGCTCTCATTTTGGGAGGGTGGTCCTTGACCCTCGCTTGGAGACGTGGGAGGGAGTAGAGATATGGAGGGGGGGGCCTTTCCAGGGCGGCCGAAGGTCGGAAGTCTTCCCCTCTCCAGGACCCATTCTGTCCCGCAGAGGAGTTATGTTTATTTTCCTAAACTATAATATTCCTCAGGCCGGTAACTGGCCCTGGGCCACCGAATGGCCCCTTGGGAAAAGTAGTTCTATTTTGCTTCCAGGTAAGTTCCCTTCGCCCCGTCTGCCAGCTCGTCTCATTCTCGGAAACCTCAAATCCCAGGGGGTTCCACAAGCACCCCGAAGGCTGAAGTCCCGGTCTCCTCCGTCTTAAGGTGTCCAGCATCCCGCAGAGGCGTGGGAGGGAAAGACTACACCTCCCAGCAGCCACCGCGCGTCTCAGTGCGCAGGCGTAGCCGCGCCTCGCCACCCCTCCCCCTCCTCCAACTGCTCCCATCGGTCCGTTCCCGTATTCCCCCCACCAGTCTTAATGTCCCCGTCTCTCCGGCACTTCTCACTCACCGCGAACTCGCGGTGTCGGGTACAGCCGCTGTGCCTTCTCCAGGAAGCGGAGCGCCCGGTCGGGCTGGTTGCTCTGGATGGCCTTGAGGGCGATGCTAATACAGCGCTCGGCTTCATCCTTGTTGGATTCCATGGCGGAACCAGAGCGCGGAACCAGGGAGGGGGAGGCCGGGCGAGCGAAGGGCTGCGCCGCCGGCGCGTCGCGGGGCAGGCCGGCGCAGAATGATGACACAGACCCTCCGCCCCTCCTTTTCCGAGAGGAGGGAGATTCGAGCGAGGGCGGAAGCGCTACCGTATGTCATCTAAGAGACGGACGTCTGGCTTAGGTGTCAATAATGAGGCATGTCAATATTTGCCTCGTGTTCTGGAGGTCTTAGAGTTGAGTATACTTACACGTTGTTGCTAGTAACTCTATACGTTTGAGATGAAGGTCATTTATTCGTTGAATACATATCGAATACCTCCTATTTGTCAGGCACAGTTATACGAGGGGGATACAGTGGTGAACATAACAAAGCCTCTGCTCTCATGGAGCTTGCATTCTAGTGTGTAAGGGTTGGGGAGACCTTAAGTAAACAGATACATTCAGATAGTGATAAACGCTATGAAGAAAAATAATGAAGAATAATAGGGATTAGAGAGTGGGGACCGCTATTTTAAATAGCTTGATAAAGAAACTCTCATAAGTTATTTTTTAAAAATTGCAATAGATTTAGGGGGGCAAATGTTTTTTGTTACACGGATGAATGGAGTAATCCTGAGACCAGGATTTTCAATGTACCCATCACCAGAATAGTGTGCATTGTACTTTATAGGTAGATTTTTACCCTTAAGACCCTCCCAGCCACCCCTCTTCTTAATTTTCAATGTCTGTTATGCTGCTTTATGACCATATATATCCTTCCTTTAGCTCCCACTTATAAGTGAGAACCCGTGGTATTTTTTTTTTTTTTTTTACATTCCTGAGACACTTCACTTAGGATAATGCTCTCCAGTTTCATCCAATTGCTGCAAAAGACATTATTTTATTCCCTTTTATGTCTGAGTAGTACTCTATGGTATACACATACACCACATTTTCTTTATCCACTCTTCCGTTGATGGGCATTTAGGTTGATTCCATATTCTTGCAGTTGTGATTTGTGCTGCAATAAATATTTGGGTGCAGGTGTCTTTTTTATAAAATGATTTCCTTTCCTTTGGGTAGATACCCAGTAGTGGGATTGCTGGATCAAATGGTAGGTCTACTTTTAGATTTTTGAGGAATTTCCATACTGTTTTCCATAGAGGTTGTACTAGTTTGTACTAGTTTGCATTGCCACCAATAGTGTATAAACATTCCCTTTTCACCACATCTGTGCCAACATCTATTATTTTTTGACCTTTTAATGTCATTCTGACAGGGGGATAAGGTGGTATCTCGTTGTGGTTTGGAAGTTGTCATTTTAACAAGTACTTGAATTCAGGAGACATAGGTATTATAGATGTGGCTATCTGAAGGAAGGGTGGTTAGGCAGAAGGAACAGTAAACACAAAAGCTCTGAAATGGGAATTTCATGGGAATTACAGGAACAAGAAGGAGACTATTCCTTCAGAGTAGAGGAGGGGAAAAAATAAAAGAAGGAGAATACACAATAGGGAGCATAAAGGATTCCACTACTGAGTGGAATCCAGTTCTATCAGGATTCAGTTCTTTCAGGGATACCACTCTAGTGAAAGCAATCTTGTGAAGGTTACCAATGACCTCTCCATTGCCAAATCCATTGTCATTTCTCAGTCCTTATATTACTGGATTTGGCAAGAGGCTACAATACTCCAGATGAGAGTTAGGCAGCAACTACTATAATACAGGTGAGAATTAATGGCAAGAATAATAATAAATAAGTGTGATGATGGAGGTGGTGAGAAGTGGTCAAATTCTGTATATAGTTTGTTTGTTTTGAGACAGAGTCTCGCTCTATCACCTGGGCTAGAGGGCCATGGCGTTAGCCTAGCTCATAGCATCTTCAACTGCCTGGGCTCAAGCAATCCTCCTGCCTCAGCCTCCTGAGGAGCTGGGACTACAGGCACATGCCACCATCCCTGGCTAATTTTTTCTATTGTTTTTTTTTTTTTTTTTTTAGTTGCCTGTATAATTTTTTCTATTTTTAGTAGAGATGGGGTCTCACTCTTGCTCAAGTTGGTCTCAAACAATCCTACCATTGCAGCCTCCCAGAGTGCTAGGATTATAGGTGTGAGCCACTACACCCGGCCCCTGGATATATTTTGAAGACACAAAATGGTTTTGCTGATGCAATGGATGTGTGATGTGAGAGAAATAGAGTATTGAAGGATAATTCCAATGTTTTTGGCCTGAGTAACTGGAAGAACAGATTTCCATGTACTAAAACTGGGGAAACGAGGAAGACTTTGAAACAAGCAGTTTGGTAGAGGACTATTGTGTTTCATTTAGAGCATCTTAAGTTTGTAGTGCTTTTAGAATCAAGTGGAGATATAGAGAAATATGTACATACATAGAGTTTAGGGAAGAAGCTGGACCTGGAAATATAATTTTTGACCAGGTGCAATCCCAGTTGGGATTACAAACCTATAATCCCAACTACTTGGGAGGTTAAGGTGGGAGGATCACTTGAAGCCAGGAGTTTGAGACCAGCCTGGGCAACATAGCAAGAGTTCTGTCTCTAAAAAAAGAAAATGAAAAATGTTAGCCAGCATGGCGTGTGTCAGTTGTCCCAGTGACTCAGGAGGCCAGGCCCTGGAGCTCAAGGCTGCAGTGAGCTGTGATTGTGCTACTGCGCTCCAGCCTAGATGACAGAGCAAGATCTCCTTTCTAATATATATATATATATATATTTTTTCTTTCTTTTTTTGTTTGAGACAGGGTCTCGCTCTGTCACTCCAGGTAGAGTGCAGTGGTGTCATTGTAGTTCACTGCAACCTCAAACTCCTTGGCTCAAACTATCCTCCTGCCTCAGCCTCCCAAGCGGCTGGGACTACAGGTGCACACCACCATGCCCGGCTTATTTTTTCTATTTTTAGTAGAGATGGGGTCTCACTCTTGCTCAGGCTAGTCTCAAACTCCTGACCTCAAGGAATCCTTCTGCCTCAGCCTCCCAGAATGCTAGGATTATAGGCGTGAGCCACCGTGCCTCGCCAAAATAGAAAAAAAAAAATATATATATATATATATTTTTAAAATTTTTAAACTTTAAAACTTTTTTAAAAAAAAGTTTTTTAAAGTATTGGTATATATAAATAGTATTTAAAGCTATGAGGTGAGATGCACCAAGGAAGTGACTGTGGACAGAGAAGAGTAGAAGTCCAATTACTGAGCCTTGCAAAATTCCAATCTTTAGAGGTGTAGAAGAGGAGGAGAATCCAGGAAAGGAGAATGTGAAGAAGTATTCAGATTCTTCCTTCTTACCTCTTTTTACCACTTCGGAAGTAAGAAAATTTTTTTTTTTTTTTTTGGAGACAGAGTCTCACTTTGTTGCCTAGGCAAGAGTGAGTGCCATGGCGTCAGCCTAGCTCACAGCAACCTCAAACTCCTGGGCTCAAGCGATCCTCCTGCCTCAGCCTCCCAGAAAATGAATTATCTTTAAAACCAAGTGAAGCAGCCCTTTATCACATGTATAACATGCAAATATTTCCTCCCATTCTGTAGGTTGTCTATTCACTCTATTGATTGTTTCCTTGGCTGTGCAGAAGCTTTTTAATTTGATCAGGTCCCAAACAAAAAATTTGATTTTCATCATTGCTGTGGTTGCTTTGGGGTCTTCTTCATAAATTCTTTTCCTAGGACGATGTCTTATAAAAGTTTTTCCAACATTTTCGTCTAGAATTCTTGTAGTTTCATGCCTTAGGTTTCAGTGTGTTATCCATTGTGAATTAATTTTTTGAGTGGTGAGAGGTACAAGTCCTTTTTTCAGTCTCCTACATGTGGCCATCCAATTTTCCCAACACTGTTTATTGAATAGGGATTCTTTCCCCCAGTGTATGTTTTCGTCTGCTTTGGCAAAGAACAGATGGCAATATAAGGATGGATTTTTATCTGGGTTCTCTGTTCAGATCCATTGGTCCATGTCTCTGTACTTATGCCAGTACCATGCTGTATTGGTTACTATATAGCTTTGTAGTATAGGTTGAAGTCTGGTAAAGTGATGCCTCCCAATTTGTTCTTTTTGCTTAAGACTTCCTTGGCTGGCCGGGCGCGGTGGCTCATGCCTGTAATCCTAAAACTGTGAGAGGCCGAGGCGTGGATTGCTCAATGTCAGGAGTTTGAAACCAGCCTGAGTAAGAGCAAGACCCCGTCTCTGCCAAAAATTGAAAGAAATTAATTGGCCAACTAAAAATATATAAATTAGCTGGGCATGGTGGCACATGCCTGTAGTCCCAGCTACTTGGAAGGCTGAGGCAGAAGGATTGCTTGAGCCCAGGAGTTTGAGGTTGCTGAGAGCTAGGCTGATGCCATGGCACTCTAGCCTGGGCAACACAGTAAGACTCTGTCTTAAAAAAAAAGACTTCCTTGGCTATTCAGGCTTTTTTCTGGTTCCCAACGAAGCATAGAATTATTTTTTTCTAGATCTGTGTAAAATGACATTGGTATTTTAATGGGGATTGCATTGAATCTGTAAATCATTTTGGGTAGTATAGACATTTTAACAATGTTGATTCTGCTGCTCCATAAGCATGATATGTTTTTCCATTTGTTTACATCCTCAGCAATTTCATTCCTCAGTGGTTTGTATTCTCCCTGTAGAGGTCTTTCACCTCCTTGGTTAAATATATTCCTAGGTATTTTATTTTCTGTGTTGCTATTGCAAAAGGTATTTAGTCTTGGATTTGATTCTCGGCTTGACTGTTGTTGGCATATAGGCATGCTACTGATTTGTGTATATTGATTTTGTAACCTGAGATTTTGCTGAATTTATCAATTCCAAGAGTCTCTTGACAGAATTTTTGGGGTTTTTTTAGATATAAGATCATATCATCAGCAAAGAACGATAGTTTGACCTCTTCTTTTCCCATTTGGATATGCTTGATTTCCTTCTTTTGCCTTATTGCTCTGTCTAGGACTTCCAGTACTATGTTGAATAAAAGTGACAGTGGTGACAGTGGGCAACCTTGCCTGGTTCCAGTTCTAAGCAGGTATGCTCTCAATTTTCCCCTGTTCAGTATAATGTTGGCTGTGGGTTTGTCATGTGTGGTTTTTATAATTTTGAGATATGTTCCATGTATGCCTATTTTGTTAAGAGTTCTCATCATAAAACGGTGCTGAATTTTGTCAAATGCCTTTTCTGTGTCTATTGAGAGGATCATATGGTCTTTGTTTTTACTTCTATTTATGTGGTGAATCACATTTATAAATTTGTTTATGTTGAACCATCCT